GCATGATATGTTTTGTTCTGGCATTTCAATGGATATGAACGGGCGGATTATTGTCACGGGTGGAAACGATGACTCTATAACCAGTATCTACGATTCCTTTGCCGACACCTGGCATGGGGCAGCAATGATGAATATCGAGCGTGGGTATCAGGCGTCAACCACACTTTCGGATGGAAATATGTTTGTCATTGGGGGTTCCTGGAATGGTCCGCAGCTCAGGAATAAGAACAGCGAAGTCTATAATGTAGTTGCAGACACCTGGACCGAACTTTCCAACGCCGACTCAAGCTATATGCTGACCAATGATAACCTCGGTCCTTACCACCAGGACAACCATGGCTGGATATTTGGCTGGAAGAATCTCTCGATCTTTCAAGCAGGTCCAAGTCGTGCGATGCACTGGTACTCTGCCCATGGCCAAGGAAGTGTGGCAGATGCAGGGAAACGAAACACAGACAATGACCAGATGTGTGGCAATGCGGTTATGTTTGATGCAACCAAGGGAAAGATCCTCACATTTGGAGGGTCTCCGAATTACGAGGATTCCACGGCTACAAACAATGCATCTCTCATTACTATCGGTGATCCTAATGCCATGCCAGAGGTTGTTAAAGCTGGTGAAAACATGCACTATAGCCGGACTTTTCATACCTCAGTTGTCTTACCTGATGGAAGCGTCTTTATCACTGGTGGCCAGGCACATGGGCTCCCATTCAATGAAGACACTGCACAATTGACACCGGAGCGTTATATCCCGGCTGATAACAAGTTTATCAAGCAATTTCCCAACAATATCATCCGAGTGTACCATAGCTGGTCTCTCCTGCTTCCAGACGCTACAGTGATCAACGGTGGTGGCGGGCTCTGTGCCAACTGCTCAGCCAACCATTATAACGCACAGATCTTCAAACCTCCATATTTATTCGACGAGAACGGAGGGTTGACTTCACGCCCGGTAATTCAGAGTGCCACGCCCAATGCTAAATATGGCGCCCAAATTACACTCGTGGTCGATTCGCCCATCTCTGGGGCCTCTTTGGTTCGTTATGGCTCCACTACACACACTGTGAACACTGATCAGCGTCGAATAGAGCTAGAGCTCCAACCCGCTGGTGCCAATACGTACACCGCAATTATCCCGAATGATCCCGGTATTGCGCTTCCTGGCTATTATATGCTGTTTGCTCTGGGTCAAAATGGAGTTCCTAGCGTTTCAAAGAATGTCCAGCTGACGGTGTAGGTAAGAAGGGGATAATATACTACAGTGGCATGTCAAAATTTTGAATTCAGTGTATTTATTACTAGCCTGATTAGGAATCCGCATAGATTCTCGCGACCATTAATAGTCCCAAGAGGGATACTGGGGTGTTTTCTATGGATCCTAGAATGAATATATTGAATAATACAGAACCTAGAGATGTATAATAGTAATTTTTCTTTGCAAGGGGCCATGTTGTTAAATTAGTGAGGTATCTGAATATTCATATCTGCAGCAGTATAGTAGGGAACCCCTAATCAAGCGGCTAGTGGTAAATTCAATAGACAATCAGTACTGTTCTCTAAAAGGCGCGCAGGTCATAATTCAGATGGGTTGGATTAATCATACCCTGGATCAATACATATTGTATCCACAACCAGAGTAAGTACATAAGTTTGTCCCGAATGTTACATGTTGCCTTTAATTAGTTTGGCATTGCACCTCCTGCCGATTGCCCTCAATTGAGAACCCTGGTAGGGCTCGAGTGGGTTCAGTATCACTCATCTTTCTGCAAGAAAGTGACCATGAGGACGATGGCAGCTGTATTTGCCGATCAGGTACCTTGTTGGATGATTGCAGGGGTATGTCATGCCGATGGTCGCGAGACTTTTCCTGCAGGCTCGAAAGGTCCTCACGCGCGGCACGGCTCTGGAAGATTGTGCTCCTGTAGATTGTCGACAGAAAGAATAAAACCCGATCGGACCCTCGCTCGCTTTTGTGGCCTGTAGACACCAAACAAAACATGGCAGTCAAGACAGTTGCGAGTGCGGCATTGCTGTTGGCCCAAGTAAACTGCGTGCGTACCAGGCCTCAGGGTACGAACATCCTCCAAGTTTCAACGCCCGATGTTGTTCAGCCTGGTGGGCTGGCTAATGTTTACCTCGATTGGCGTGAATCCTACCCTGGTATCATTGAGGCTGTTTACGCGTCCTGTCTAAGCCCTGATACGTCTTCGAAGCAGATCATCGGTCGCTTTACTGTCGAAGGCCATCCCCCTCAGCGACTCGCCTGGGCAGTCTCTGACGATGCTCCAACGGACAACTGTATCTACGTCCATGGCTCCCAGTCAGATAGGTCAGAACCAAGTCTCCTGGGGAAGAGTGAGCCCGTCCGACTGAGTCGAATGGCGAAGAAAAGATCTGTCACCGATGCAAACGTTCCCCTCCTCAAAGACTTCGACTCACTCGGGGCCTGGTTTGACGGAGTTGCCGCCATCAAACAAAAGACTGCAACACACGGTGCCGTCGCATCCGGTCACTCGTCCAAGGACAGCAAGATCGCCATTGTGGGCGCTGGTATCTCCGGCCTTGCCACAGGCCTAATGCTCGACAGCGTTGGCGTCCACAACTGGGAAATTATCGAAGCCAGCGATCGCGTCGGAGGGCGGTTCCGAACGCGGTATGTTGCTGGGACGCAAGAGTGGGCGGAGATGGGGCCGATGCGGTTGCCCTATTCTGTCACCTACAAGGACAGTAATGAGACTCTACGGTATACGGATCACGAGATGACGTTCCAGCTCGCGGGTATCCTAAACGAGATGAATGGCAATGACCCTCAGTGGAAGATCGACTTTATCCCGTGGATCCAGCATCACCCGAATGAGCTTATTGCGCAGGGGACTCGTCGACATCCTGATGGTCGCATTCCCACTCGTGCTGAGATCGAGGCGGATCCAAGCCTAAAGGAAGTGCCTGACATGTCCGGTGCTGAGTACCTCAGCACGAAGAATAGAATGGACCGCATTCTGAAGAACGAGACCACCCTGAAGTCACTCCAACGAGACGTCTGGCGCGCGCACAAACTCGCCATGAAGGAAGGCCTAGACGAATGGAGCGAGCAAGCCATGATGCGCCACGTCTTCAAAGCCAGCCTGAACGTCACCGACGAGATCTGGACAAGCTCCGACTACGACATCTTCTGGGACGAGCTCCACCACAACTCCAACCTCGGTCTCGACGGCAGCAGCAGTGCCCTCGGTGAAACAACCTGGCTCTGCATCGACGGCGGCTTCAACCGTCTCTCTGATGCCTTTCTCCCCCACCTTGGCAACCGCCTAACTCTCAACCGCAAGATCCGAAAATTAGAACCCATCCCTGGCCCCAATGGTACAACCCGCACCCGCCTCTCCTGGTATCCCAATATCACCAACCGCACCTACGAGTTTGAAGACTACGACTACACAATCATGGCGGTCCCCTTCACAATGACGCGCTTCATGGACCTCCCTCACTTCTCCTCCGTCCTCTCCCGCGCAATCAGCGAAGCCGGCCTCCGCTTCAAGTCCGCCTGCAAAGTCGCCCTCCTCTTCCGGGAACGCTTCTGGGAAAGGGGGCCCCGACCTATCTTTGGAGGGTACTCGAAACCGCCTAGCAAGCCCGTCGGAGCCCTGTACTACCCGGTGTATGGCCACAACGAGTCGCGTCCGGGGCTCATAATGCACTACCGCGGCGGCGACTGGAGTGACCGGTTCGTTAGCTTTTCGGACGAAGAACACGTGCAGACTGTCCTCGACTCCATTGTCTCAATCCATGGCGAGCAAGCGCGTGAGCTCTACACGGGCGACTATGAGCGGCTGTGCTGGTTGCAGGACGAGCACACGGCGACGGCGTGGTGTCGCCCAGACGTCGAGCAGCATAAGCTGTATATCCCGGCATATCATGTCACCGAGCACAATACGATCTTTATTGGCGAGCATACGGCACCGACGCATGCTTGGGTGAGCTCGTCGTTACAGTCGGCTGCTAGGGGGACTATACAGTTGTTGTTGGAGTTGGGGCTGGTGGATGAGGCGAAGACAGTTAATGAGAAGTGGATGGGGAGGTGGATTCGTCTGTAGATGGCCTCCTGGCTGTACGTACAGTATGGATCGATATGGGAGAATTAGAAGGAAATACATAGTGAAGTTGGCCTCCAATGTCGATAACGGCCGAGTCTCGTTTTGCAAATTTCTCTACGTCCTAGTATTGACTTAGACCACCCCCACGACGCCGATAACGGCAGTGCCCAAGTCCGACTTAATATGGCGCGTGGAGCGCCATGAGGAGCTGAATGGCGCTGCCTTCCACAAGGTCCTCCTACTAATTTGCTAGTTCATAGGCGATTGTTATCTAACGGCATGCATTTCAACAAGGTCTTAGATTATCACCAAGAGAAGGATCGATAAGAGTTCAAGATCTTGAGGAGCTCCTTAATTACTACATAATAGTATCAAAAATCCCCCTTAATCACCCTACCCTACTCCCTAAACACCCTGATCTGGTGGTAAATTTGATGTTCAATGAAAGTATAGTTAAGACCTTGCTGAGGTGTTCCGCCTTATTAGATCTAGATAGTACTTTAAAAACTCAACAAGGTCTCAAGATGTCCTAGACGACCTGAGACCTTGGGGACATTTCCAAGGCCTTGGCGAACTGTAACCATTTATTTAGACGCATGCCCCTCCGTAAGGGTCCCAAAAGATACCAGATTCACTCAACCGATTGAGCAGATGCTATTTGATACGAGAATGCTCCGCCTCGCGTCCTTGATGGTGATAGCTATCTTGCCACCCTTGTCCCTAGCAATCTATACAGATAATGGCAGACTAGCTATTGTAGATGGTATCAATTACTACGTCAACGGGCTTCCTGTATCGAGGCTTTCTGCGCTACTGCCGCTCAATTCAACATGGACCGACGTGGACTCCGATCTCATCCCAATAACCGTCGTTCGGTCGAGGAATGCAAATTTGACTTGGCAGGACATGCAGGAGACCGTCTCGAGGTTCACAACGAAAGACGATGTCTTTCAACCCGGATTCCTAGAAGGTAATCGTTTCACTCGTCTTGAATGACTTTGTACTCATGACGATATAGCTATTTTTCTAAACCACGCTGCATACAACCAAGGATATCTCGAAAACGCACATAACCTGTCTGCCTATGGAAATATCAACAAGGTCGTCTTCGCATCGCCAAGCTACCATTCGCGGGGCCCTATTGTGCAGGCAAGCTTGGATGGTGATGTTCCCGAGGGACCATACTTTCTTGCAGTGGGGACAGGGGCTCTCTACCAGGCTTTTCGGCTATACCCCGACCACCAGCTCGCGTTTACAGAAGCCGCGGTTAGTGATGGTAATGGTGGGTATAGGCCATTACCTGCTGTAACAAAAGTATTCATCTCCAAAGCTAGGAATCTTTGATGATTGACTAAGACAGCCAAACAGGGTGCTATGACGAAGGCAGTAGCCGTACCCTCCAGACTATACTTCACCCCAAGCCCAAATAAGCCACTTGCTGGAGTATGTTCACCCTCATTATATTCCCTCTCACCCCTTGGTCAACAAATGACGCTCCTCGTCCAAGTTACAGCCAACAATCGCTTCCAACTGACATATATCCCAGCTCCGCCTCGGCATAAAAGACATCTTCGACCTAGCTGGCCTCCGCACAAGCGGCGGAAACCGCGCCTTCTACAATCTCTACCCACCGCGCAACACAACAGCGCCCGCGATCCAGCGCCTCATCGACGCGGGTGCCATCGTCGTAGGAAAAATGGGAACCGTACAGTTCGCCAACGGCGACAATCCGACGGCAGACTGGGTGGATTTTCATTGTCCGTTTAATCCGAGGGTATGACCCCCTTTCTCCGTCGGCTTCTATTTTTCTACTAGGCGTCTATGTTGATATTGATGCTCTACGCAGGGTGACGGATACCAATCGCCCGGCGGCTCCTCATCTGGCCCCGCGTCCGGGATAGCGTCGTACGAGTGGCTTGATATCGCCGTTGGAAGTGATACGGGCGGATCAATGCGGAATCCCGCTGGATTGCAAGGGATCTATGGGAATCGGCCGTCGACAGGGGCTGTTACCATGGAGGGAGTTTTGCCGCTCTGCGATGTGCTGGATACGGCCGGTGTGTTTGCGAGGGATGCCAGAACGCTAAGCACCGTGCTTCATGCGTGGTATCAGGACTCGGAAAGGGCGTATAAAGGATATCCGAGGCGTTTGTTTTACTCCAATGCATCGTTTCCCGATAATACGACGGAAGCTGGGGCGCTTCTCGAGGAGGTTGTCGCAGGAATTGAGGGGTTCTTAAGGGTGAGGAGGGAAGTCGTTGATACGCCTTCGCGGTGGGCGGAGACGCATCCGTCTGGGGCACCAAGTAATATCACAGAACTATTGAACACGGTAAGCTCAATAGCCTTGACCACATAGCCATGGTAACTAACGCTGCCTATTAGACATACGCAATCCTCACATCACTGCACCAGTACAAGACCCTCGCCCTCCCCTTTTTCACTGACTACGCAGCCAAACACGACGGCCGTCAACCCTACATAAATCCTGGGCCGCGTGTCCGCTGGGCCTGGGGTCAAGAGAACGGCGGTGACACAGGCTACGAGATGGCCATCCGAAACAAAACAATATTCAAAGACTGGTGGGAATCACAGGGCTATGGTGTACCCAATGAAGATACCTGCTCGGAGGGTATATACATCTATCCCTATTCCACGGGGAAGACACAGTATCGGGATGTTTATACCAGGTACGTTCTCTGTTCCTCGCGACGTTGTAACGACGTCGAAGAATGCTATGAAGACACATGAGAAACAAGCTAAACTGTTGTAGCGCCCCTACTGAGCCGCCAATGGGTTTCAAAGACGGTCGCATCGCAACAATGGCTGGTGTGCCTGATGTTGTGGTTCCTGTTGGCGAGGTGTCATATGCTTCTACTGTTTCGCTGCGAACCGAGTATATGCCCGTGACTATGAGTCTTGTTGCGGCCAGGGGCTGCGATCTTATGCTTGCCAGCCTGGCTAGGGATTTAGAGAAGGCAGGAATCTTGAAGGCTGCGGGGACGGGGTCGAGGATGTATGATTGATTGATATTGCGAGCTGTGTACACGATACTGTTGCGTTGGGAGCCAGCTTCTTTAAAAAGTGAGGAGAAACTCTCGTCTCCGCTTGGAAGTCCGGTCGATGGCCCAGCAGACCCGAAGAGTACACATTATAAAGAAATAGAGAAAGGCCTGGAGCTTCCCAGCCACAGGTTAGAGAGTTGAACTAAACCGCCTCCTGCTTAACATTATCTCTCGTCTTCTCCCTCTTCTCTCCTCTCCTCGTACTCCTCAACCCATGAAATCTCTCCCGGCTAATAGAGGGCGTGTCATATGTCGCCTGGATCCCATTGTCTCGGAATGATGATCAAGAGCATCCATGCGATCCCGCGGATAGATTTCGGCAATTACCGACGTGTAGCTCAGCGGAGTAACGTGATCCTAATCTTCTGCAGCGAAAGTTTATTTCGAAGGGTGGCAGAGACAATCTACCGCAAAAAGTCCTCTTGTTTCTGCGCAAAGTCCGCCAGCTGCTTCTCGCATTTTGGGTCCTCCAACGTGCAGTCCCAATAAAACATGCTTTTAAATTGAAGCTCTCGTAAGGCTTACACGGGACCGGTTAGTGCCGCCTTCTGGCCCCGTTCTTGGACTCGGTATATATCAATCTTGGGGCGATCGAACAGAAACCGCTGTATTTGCGGCCTTGAGTCTTGTTGCACTATCTAAATATGTAACACCTAGATTTGCATGCCCTTCTCATGACCGTGCGCTAATAGGGGATGTGTGGTAACCCATATACATGAAATGCAAAGGATGACGGTCTAATTTCCGGCAATCTATCTGTGCAGCAAAGTATTTATATCAAACGGCGTAAAATCTTTGCCAATCGGCGGTTCCACAGAATCTATGTTTCCTGGTTAACAGAGCATTAGCTCCGTACCCAGAACTGTAAGGAACAGTAAGAATGGTTGACAGCAGGGATTCGCATCGGTTCTCCTGGAGAAGCTGAGACAATTTTCTTGACGTTCTCTGACGAGTGTGACTAACAGGGCGTCTTTCCTTTGCTGCTTACCTGGAGAAATGCATATTTCCCGGCCTTGATGAAATCAATGGGAAAGGCATTAACTTTGGGTGTTTAGGCGTCGGCGTTCCAAGTGATGCCACCTATGCGCACATGAGGCTGGAAACATACAATACCGAGGCTGCTACAATGAACAGATTCTCCGGGGCGAGCTGCATCAAAGTCTTGCGGGTTCTTCTCTCGCAAATGCGCTAGAAATGGCTCACCATATTGTACTCCGGTATTGTATTTACTTGCTTTCCCGCTGTTGGTATTCATCTATTCATCTGGCCTTGTATGGAAAATTATTCTTCATACTTGGGTAATGTAGTTCATACCGCAATGGCTGACTACATGGAATCTGGTCTAAGTCCATCCTCGCTGACCTGCCCGTCTACTCTAAGGGGTCAAAGTGGGTACATGAACTTGAGATTCGTTCGATCCGTTGCATCGAAATCATGACCATCAATTTTCACGATTTGCCCATCAGCATCAAGAACATCTTCCCGATCAGAGTCGGACTCCTGTTGCTCTAGAAGCCGCTGACGCCGACGATTCTCGCGCTGGAGGTAGAGTCGAATAATGATACACATCGTAGGCGAGATGGCCCAGAACGCGGTCATAAACGCCCACGGAAGCCGATATCGGGGCTGGTACTTGGATTCCCAGAATCTGCGCAGATGGTGTTAGCAGCGATTATAGAGCGGGATATTACTGTATCGAGGCGACGAACTCTGGAGAAATCATGTTCGCTACCGAAGCCGCAACAACACAGGAGCTCATCAGCGTAAGTCGCTTCGTGTACCCGGTTGTTGTTGTTCCGGCCCAGCTAAGACCGAGGAGGTAGGATGGCTTGAATGTCGAGATTTGGGTCCCTACGACCAGGGCTACTTTGTTTGACCACGGTGCTGCGAGCTGCGACAGCCGCAAGTGTGCTGTTAGATACTTCTATCACCAAGATGATGTTAGATAGTGATGGACGTACCTCGATAATTCCACCAATCAGGCAAGGGACGTATGAGAGCGCACAGGTATATCCTGTTCCAAGTCTCGTGCCGTACAGCATGGCAGCGGAAACAAGGATCAGAATAAGGCCCCAGAGTGGCTTGATTATGTTAAATAGGGCACTTTCGGCAGGGGTGAATCCGAAGCCGACGATGATGAGAGGGAGTTGTTGCGAGGTGTTGTTTGGCAGTTCGTTGAAGAACATGTGGAAACTTGTCGCCCGCGTTAGACCTGGACAGGACACATCTGGTACGGAGTAAAGGAAGCACATACATGAAAAGCCAACTCTTAGGGTCTGTGACCATCTCCCTCACTTGCGCCCATTTGAAGGTCGAGTTCTTGACACCTGCGTGGGTATTGCGAATGATTTCGATGGTGTGCACTTTTTCTTCGGTAGATAGCCATTTCGCGTCAAGAGGGGTGTTGGGGAGGAAGATAAGGAGAGGTACGCAGACGCAGAATGTCAAGATGCAGCAGACAATATGAAGCCATTTCCACGAAGCAAGGGAGCCAGCCAGGGTGCCGTGGTTGTCATCCTGGATCAATTGGTACGAGATCATTGTCAAGAGAACGTTGGCCACGCTGCCAAATGCCCACCAGAGGAGCTGTACCCAGGGACTTTTCCTCGGCGGGAAGAATGCCTGGTGCAACATGGCTGTGGACGGGACGATCTGCGATTCAGTCTATAGTCCGTCAGCATATGCCATCTCCTTCGTTGATTAAAACTACCATCCCGAGAAGAAACCTCACGGCCATCATCTGCTTCCCCGTTGTGACTGCCGGATGGACACCAATTAATAAGGCCCATAGCAACAAAGAGCCAGTAATAAAGTGCTTGTGGCCGACCCGCTGCGCAAGCCAGGCGCCAGGCCAGAGGGCGATCATGTACCCGAGGTAGAATAGGATGAACAGCCGGTTATACTCGTTCTTTGTCATTGCTACATCTTTGAACACTCCCATCGTGCTGGCGGAGGAGAGAGTCGATTTGTCCAAATGAATCAAGAACGAGATCCACCACGTTTGGAGGAGGAGGCACCAGAAGTTCTTGCGGACCAGCTTTCTTTCCACCTCCGGTGTCAACGGGCGTACTTGGTCTTTGTGGGTGTTGTAGAATAGTGTGGTGTCGTCGATGTCTCTCTTGTCGATGACATTAGGGTCCCGGGTCGTGACGCGAGTTGTCTCTTTCACATAAGGATTGGGCTCGTGATCTTGCGATTTCGGTGCAGCAGATATTGTTGCCATACTGAATGGAATGATCCGAAAATTTTATGATGCTCAAGGAGAAAGAATCATCACAAGTAGAACTTATACATGTCTCGTTTACCACGTTTGCAAGCAAAGGCCCAGCAAGGGGTAGGGCCTTGTTTTCGGCCGACGCGCGTTCAATCACTTGATTCCCTGCCGTAAAGACGTACCCGATCTGCGTTGCCTACACCATACTCACGCCATCAAGAACCTTGCGAGCAGGCCATCCCACGCTGTGCCCCTGGCGTCTTGGGCCCTTGGCTCGAGGCCGCCAAGCCCGCCAAAATTACATCCAAGGACCTTGGTAGATGCTTGTCGGCGACAAGACGGAAGGGAAAATTCTCTGCTTGCGGGAATCTATCGAATACCGAGCGCGTCTCGGACGTGCCAAGTTACACTGGTGGTTTCATGACGCTGGTTGCAGTAATTGGATGTAGATTGCTTAGATGACAAATAGATAGGCCTCTCCCACTCTTATCTTCCCAAGTAACTACGCACAGGTCAAAGGAAAGATGCATGAGAAATGTCTCTTGTCCCACCGGGTCCCTCCTCTAAGCCGTTTCTACGGTGTGCCTCGGGTCGCCACCGCCAAAAAGGCCGCATGTATGTCTTACTTTTATCTCCGTTCTCGAAGATATCCGCAGCATGCTTAGTGAAATATTAGTTTGTATGAGAGTTTGGGTTATGTGAGCAGGACACTGGCTTACCTCCCCAAGAACCGGCAGAAACTTTGCACCGTGGCCGCTACCTCCCGTGCATACAAACACCGACTTTTCTGCGTAGTCTGGCACATAGTCAATCTAGCAAGATATCGGTCAGATTCGGTTCTCGCTGTATGACAGGGGGTGGTGTGCGTACTACAAAGGAGTTGTCGAGAGAGTCTGTATACCAGCAGAGCTTGGTTGACGAGAAAGGTACGCCCTCAAACTCTGGAAGGAAGATAGATACAAACTCTGATATAGCTTGTATGGCTGGTTTTGGCAGTGTTTTGCATTGATCTACTGGCAAAGGCACAGACCATTTCCCGTCCTGTGTGAACGGAGTTCCTTCAGGGGCCGGTTGGAAGTTGGTGAACTGGATGGGTTGTCAGCATTTGATAAGCCGTTAGTTGAAGCCTCTTGCCTTTATCCCTCGGTACCCGATCTTGAGGTAGCCCTCCGGCGTGCGAGGCAAGACGTAGATACTACCAGTGTCCTTACCGGCCTTATCGCGGGGGGTCGCTTTCCAAGTGATGACAGGGAATTTGTCGGGAGAGTACTTATCCCAGAGCTCTGTCTGCTTGCGATCAATTTTGAACGTGGCTACGCTACCAGCAGATGACTCGAGATGGTAGCTTAACTCGGGCAGGACCTGAGTCGAAAAGGGCCCAGCTATAACTGATCAGCCAACGCACAACTACCAGGGGGAGACTTACCAGCAACAACAACAGTATCCACGGTATGCAGAGTCCCATCCTCAGTTCGAATACCTGTGACCTTTTCCTTTCCGGGCTCCAAGGTGCTAGGAGCCTTTACCAAGGATTCGACTGCACCTTCTTTTCCAAAGCAAAAGTCGACCCCCTCCGCCAGTGCAATCTTGTGCCAATAGGCACAAGCATCACTACACCTCACAAATCCAGCGAGTGAGTCCAGGACTGCATCATACGTCTGCCTTGGCTCGGTATCTGGTATCTCGAAATCGAGGAGTTTGCCTGACCACCCCAAGCTCTCCGCGCGCTGTCGGTCCTCAGGATTGCTCTTGACAAACTGCGTGTGACGAAGTCCATCGCGCTCCATGTTTGCAAGTGTCTCTTTCTCCAATTCACCAAGTTTATCAGTTGGCTGGACACGTAACATTCCACCGTTTACGAATAGCCTCCGGTCGTCTTGGTCCTTTCTTTCTGAAATTCCGCGTCCCTTGTCGCAGGCTAGCCATGTCTGTCGACTCTCCAGGGCTAGACGTTGGTAGTGTAGTTTTGTCCCGTACGATGCGCGAAGCTAAGTCCAGATAGCTATTAACTTCTTCTGCCCGATGTCTTTGTAACTCATAAGGTGCTCACAATCTTGTTCAGATCCACTGATGCAGCTTGTGCATCCTCGCCTTCTGGGTCATAGCCTGTCTTATCATATGCGTTTCGATCAAATACTGTAACCGTATAGCCTGTTTCGGATGTTATCGATTTCTCTTTTTGTTCGTCTGGACAACACTCTTACCTTTGCTTCGCAGCGCGACAGCCAGCGAGAGGCCGAAAATCCCGGCTATGGACCTGTTAATTGACCCCTTGCACTGTATATAGTGACATACATACCGCCAATAATGGCCACTGTCCTCTTCTCTGTTACTTGCATCATGAAACCTGGCTGAGTGGTAGATAGTAGTAATGGGGTTTGTCCGCTTTAAAATGATCCCCGCTCAACGATGATCACGCAACGTCCCAAGGGTCCTCGACTTGGAGTAGCCGTTAATTTACTCAATAATAACGCAATAATAGTCGGGATAGCGTGGTCCACACACGGATATTCAAGGCCGTACATTCCCAATCCTACAGACCACCAGAGGATTCGATACCCAGAAGCGTGATCGATTTTCTATGCTAAGCAGTACATACGCGAAAGAACAAGAGTATATACACCGGACTGAATGTATGTACCAGCCAAACTAGATTTTTGCTGTCGCCTGCTTGTACTACCTATCGCCACAATTTCTACAAGGACTATAAACCTCCTGTATACAATATAGTAAGGATACCGTATATCGTCTCGTAGGGATATCTATATTAGTACTATATGGTTAGTCGATATTAATACTCTGTAGATATTCAATATGTAGTGGTTGCAGAAAATCAGGGATTAGTTATCTCTACTAGGGGATGATACAAATATGGTGTGATATAATATATATGTCCAGATTGGCCTTTGACAATACGATGGAATAAGAATAATACTTGACCATCCATGTTGTACCCCCTAGGTATTGAATCAAGATTGTTGATATAGGTTAAAATGACTATAGTTACTATACATCTACATAAAGATATTACTTTCCTATAATCATGCTAGATAGCTTCCCTGGGTTCTGGGTGAAGACAAGGATAGCCTTTTACCCTTTCAGCCACCTAGAGAGCCTCCACTCTCTCCTCTCTAGGCTCTGTATATCTCGAAGTCGGCTTATGATAGCGGAATGAACACCGAACGTTATCGTCACCTGTATCTTATTCTGGTCATGGTTAACCCACCTAAAGTGGGACATTGCAAATGTCTACCCAGATGGCGAATGGATTATGGGGCAGGCCCTTCAGAAATACAGGATCCCTCGTCAGAAGGTCATCATCATGACAAAGTGTTATCGGGTTCTATGTGACCCTGAAAACCATGATCCTGGGCCGACGGTCACCATGCACCATGCATTGACAGACTCGAGCAAGGATTACGTGAACCAATAATAGCGGTGCAAATAGGAGCATTCTCATCTAACGAGTCTCAGATTGGCAGTGACTGGGATCGGCAATAGCTAATATCAGTAGCAGCAAGTTCGGCACAGCTCACCAATTAAAAGGAATCTGATTCAACTACAGCATAGGCCGAATGACATGCAGGTATTTGCGGATGAGGAAAAGGTAGATCTCCTAGGTTAGTATGGCATTATTGGAAATTCAGGCATGTCACCGAACGGAGTATGTCTCGGACTCCGTGACGCTGAAGCCAGCAGATGAAGAGGCTGGGTTAAGGTTCAGAGACAAGCTCCAACCAAAGTGCCTGAGTAACCCGTACCTGTGGAGACAGAAGAGGTATCACGGGCCACAAGAGTGCCGCCCTTCTAGGTAATAACAGAATTCTAGTGTGGGTTGCGGTCTACCACCTTTACACATTGGTAGTATGGGGTGCATTGACCGCAGACTGTGTCTGTAGACCCCCGTCTGCTTGATGAGGACTGTTAGATCTCACTTTGATCTCTCTCATATTCATAAATTCCTCTGCGGTAGCATCGATGATAGTAGGAAGTGAAGATCCTACTGCTGTTAGTGTAGCTAGTGCTTAGAATAGCCCGGGAGTGTTGCTGGGTAACTTCATGGTGCCCAAGGTAGCAGATGGAACGAGTATGCGACACACAAGGGCAGTTAGATGCATGCACCAATTTCCTTTTGACAGTATCCGGCTCTTGATACCTGTAGAGTACAGATGTGTCAGTTATAGTATCTGTAGATGAGATCGAGGGATGTAGTGACAGAGGCCTATGCACGCCTGTAGGACCTGAAGCCGCAGCTGGACGACGCTGTCGAAGGGTCAAGGAAGGCACTGACATGGGATTGACCGACGACCTTGTTGAGGCAGTCTCACTCCCCATCTTCATGGTCGCAGATGCGGTGGAGAACTTGGAATCGTTCGTCGAGGTGGCCGAGGAGCTGGATCGGGAGAAGCGCAAGGCGATCGTCTTTGCCTTCCCGAGCACCATCTTCTTTTTCGTTCATGTCGTCGGTGAGCTCGTGAGCGGGCTGACCTCGCTTGTCACAATTGGGCATTGTCGCGCTGATGGGAACGGTCGGTAACCTGGCGTTGGATACCTACACGGTGGTCGATGACAAGGAGAATGCACCCCTAGCCATCTTCAACCTCATCCTTGCTCCATTGGCACTCCTGGACATTGCCCGGGTAAGTCGCGCAGCCAATTTCCGTCGCGCGATGCCGGGAGATAACTTGGCCAAATTGGGCGATAAACTGGCAGCGCGCATGTACGTGATCAATCGGATTAAGGACAGATGTCCAATCTGAGCATCTTTGATTATTATGCTGTACAATATCGAGAGCAAAATATATACAATGTATAATATTTTTTGATTATAAGAACAATTAATGTACAGATCATGATATGCAGAACCCAGAACGCACCCCAGCAGAGATGGCTGCATGACACCAGTTAAACTAGAGAGCATGTACTCAGGAATTGATCAAATTATATAATACAATCACATGGATTATGAGTTTTATGACTTTGAAGCCAAGTGCCAGCAGGAGCAATCGTTAATGATGCCATCCAGTGACATCATCATCGAGATGAAAAGTAGACTAAATTTTAAGCATAACCTTGGCAAACAGGCGAGGATAATATTATTACTCGGCACTAGATAACTATGAGCAATGATAGACTAGACTAAAATAAGAACACCGACATCATCCGATTCTAGTTCCTGTCGATCATTCTTGTTATGGCAACATGTCCTGCTCACCATGGACGGAGGCTTGGCGTGGCTGCCGGAAACAGGGAAAGTATGGAATAATCATGACGCAATGGATATGAACATTCTCTGCCCCATAAGGTATCACTCATTCTACAACATCGTCATTGCATCCAACTTATAAATACCCATTGACTACTTCAGATCTTGACAATCTCTCCTGATTAAGTTCACGCACGTTCTCACTTCTTAATTAACTTATCTCCTACTCATAGACTCTCTGATTACAACATGTTGACCCGAGGTTCCCGAGTCGCAACAGGCTGCGCCAGGCAGCAGCTCTGGGGCCAAACAAGGGCATCTCTTCGCAATCAACGTTCTCGCCGCTATGCTACCTCAACTCAGTCTACCGGCAATGGCACCAACGCTGCCTTGGTTGGTGGCCTCGCTGGTGGAGCGGTGACCTTTCTCGCCGGATATACCTGGTACCACTTCTCCGGAGCCAAGAAGCTTGTCCAGACGGCAAATCAAACACAAAAATACTACAACGAAGCAAAGAAGACAGTCGCTCAGAAGACTCCTGATCCCGACGAGGCCTTTGGCTGGCTGAGAGATACGGCGAAAAACTACGCATCGTGGATCCCCGGCGCCAAGCCCTATGTCGACCAGGCATTTGACGACCTCGAGGAGATCAAGCGCAAGCATGGCAAGGAATTCAATGAGATTGTCAGTGATGCGTACAAAGACTTGCGCGAAGCCACAAAAAAGGGCAGTCTTGATGTGAACACCGCTGTGAAGATCCGGGACATTCTACAAGAGCACTTCAAGCGTCTGTATGAACTCGCCGGCGAGTCTGCAGGTGACATCCTTGACAACCATCCCGAGATCAAGGAAAAGGTCGGTGGCAGCTTGGATCAGCTCAAGGAGATGGGCAATGCCTATGGTCCGCAGGCGAAAGAGGAGGTCGACAGAACGTGGCAGCAAGTGAAGGACATTGTCTCGAGCGGTGTTAATCCTGAGACCATCCAGAAGATTCAGAAGCTGGCACAGGAGAAGAGAGAGAAGCTCCAGAAGTTGGGTGATGAGGCATGGCAGAAAGGTATGGAAGAGGTTAAGCCATACCTTGATCGGAACCCCAAGGTCAAGGAACTTGTCGAGAAAAACAGCGATGCCTTGAGAAAGGGCAACTATGGGGAACTCTGGGACCTGATCAAGGAAAGCGCGTCTTCAGGCAATCTAGGAAACCTGGAGGGATACATCAACAAGACCGTTGATCAAGCCAAGAAGAGTGGTTTCAACCTTGACAGTCTGGCCGACAAGTTCCCAGGTGGTTCAAACATTCTCTCCCAGCTGCAGTCACTCCAGGATACTGCGCAGAAGAAGGGTCCCGAGGCGGAGAAGATTCTAATGGATACCCTCAATGACATCCAGGGTGTCTTATCGGAGAGAACCAAGCAGGCCGAGAGCCTTGCTGAAGAGGCTAAGAAAGAGAGCAAGTGATTGGAGTGCTACGGGCTACGTCCTGAATCTTTCTTTGTACATATATGCATGAGTCAGGTTTCTGCCTTTTTCATCTCCAAGGGATTTGGAGATTATGTATTTTAGGAATGAGTATTTAGACGGAATTGACGACGACATCAGGATGACTATATTCTGTGCTTGGTGCAAATGTAGATTACAGCATACACTGTTTAGAGCGTAATATGAGTCAAATATTCATTCCCCTTTTCGAATACTACTTCTAACAGGTACACTTCTGACAGCATCTGTGACTGCTATATGACATCATACTGGGATTTTTACCTTGAGCCAATCAGAGACGCAATTCTCTGACCAATGCCGCAGTCACCGCAGTCAATTACCGATACAAGACATGATTGGCCATTCCCTTTCGGTTCGTCAGCGGCCCGTCTGATCCAAGAACCAAAGCCAATCACGCGCCCTGACTGCCGGGGTCGAAGCCGCCGAGCCGAGGAGGGAATGTTGTTGTGCGGGGAAGCAGGCCGCACCGCCTCCTGGGGCACCTGATGGCGCTTGAGCAGCAGCGTACACCGATTAATGAGACTGAGCAAACCTCTGCGTATCCCTGCGCGGGGTCGATACCCGTTTTTATGTAACAGTGATTGTTCTACCCTCAAATGGTTCCCGACCCAAGCAATATCCCTCGGGGGTTTCTGGGAAATCTGTCGAGGGAACAGGAGCGATGCTTGCAACAACTCTGGTCCTTGGTTCTGTACCTTGAAGATGCCGCCTCTTTCAACGACCTCGAACAGCTCTTCCGGGTCAACAGCGTCGAACGGAATAAATCAATTTCCATTTCGTCATTTGCGCGCCGAAACTCGCTGCTGACCCGGACGGATTCCATCCTGTTGCGCCGGAGCAGCACAGCGTCCTTTCCGGCACCTTCCAATCCGCTAGTCCAGAGCCTTCGCAGTATCGGAATGACCGCGTCTGAGATCCGCTCTGTGGCAAAGTCCTTGACCTACCTGAGTCCAGACGATGTCCGCTGGGGCATACTCACCGCGAGCAAACATGAATATCCGGATCGATGGATGCTTCGATACCTGCGTTTCTGCAAGTGGAATGTCAGCAAGGCGTTTATTCTGATTCTGAACGCGTTGCAGTGGCGAATCAAGGATATGCATGTGGATGACCGTCTACTGCCAGAGGGTGAGCTTTGTGCGATTCACCAGGCACAGGCACCCTCGAATGCTGCCGAAGCGCAACTATCGCGTGGCTTTCTCAGTCAGTTACGAATGGGAAAATGCTATGTCCATGGAGTCGATCGACTAAACCGGCCTTTATGTGTGGTACGGGTGCGATTGCATCGACCTGAGGATCAGTCGGAAGAGGTGATGAACCGATACATCACACATATCATGGAGTCCGTCCGGCTACTCATTGCGCCCCCTGTGGAGACAGCAGTATGTACTACTCACATAGGTGGGTCGTGTCACTGACATACCGCTATAGACTGTCATTTTTGATATGACTGGGTTTTCTCTCGCAAATATGGTGGGTTTATCTTATGATTGGGGAGATTACCTACTGATGCTCTATATACAGGAGTACGCCCCTGTAAAGTTTATCATCCGATGTTTTGAATTATATTATCCCGAGTCGTTGGGTGTTTTGCTCATCCACAATGCCCCCCGTATTTTTGCAGGTGTGCTTGGCCTAGTCGTGTCTTCTGTCGCTCACCACTAACCAAGTCTACGCAGGGATATGGAAGATTATCAAAGGCTGGATTAACCCAGACATGGTGACAAAAATCCACTTCACCAAGTCGGTGGGAGATCTCGCACAGTTCATTCATCCCAGTCAGATTGTGAGCGAGCTCGGAGGTGACGAGGACTGGGAGTATGAATATACCGAGCCTGAAATGGATGAGAACGACTTAATGGAGGACGACGAAGCGCGGGATACGTTACTGAGTGAGCGACAGCATATCAGCGAGGAATTCCTTTCCCTTACGTCCCAGTGGATCGAGGCGACGAGATACGACTACCCTGAAGAGGTTGCGATGGTCCAGTCGCGCCGTTTGAAAGTGATGGAACAACTTCGTGTTAATTACTGGAAATTGGACCCTTCTGTCCGAGCCCGTAACTTCCTTGATCGAACAGGCGTCATCCAGGAGGGCGGGAGGATCAAGCACTATCCAGAGACTAAACCGGAGGTCCAGATCGAGACAGCCAAGGTGTTAGAGGTGGCACATATTGACCGGGCACGGGTGAAACTCATTAATGTCTAATATTCTACCCGCCGTTGATTGCTGGTCTGATCCATTGATGCATGATGGCATGACCATGATACCCAAGACATCAGTCAATTTGATTTTCTTACAGGTAATTGAGGCAATCTATCTTTGATTTAGAAATATCAGCTTGGTGCTATCCAGCTTCTGTAGATGCGACTAGTAATCCTGAGAGTAAGCTTCGGCCAGTTGACGCTCAGCATGTCTCTTGGCCCGCTCCCGGTCAATGAAATCAAGACCCCTGGTCTCAACTTCACGGTCAAGGATACCGCCAGCAATTGCAGCAAGAACCTCCTTGGCCTTCTCGTGGCTATCAGGCGGACCTATATCCAGATCAGTATACCTGTCTGTTGTCAGACAGATGGAGCGACAGGACAGGACAAACCATTTTCAGCGACCTGATCCTCATAGGCCTTAGCAGCCTCGTAGGAGACGACAGCTGCAATCAGCTCATGGCTTATTTTGCCCTTGTGATTGTTGCTGTCAGCGTATGACTAGTGTTAGTCATAGGCCTGAGACTGGTCATTGTCGTCGCCTAGGAGAAATTCGATAATTGGGAGCACTACCGAACCAGCCCATGATGTGAAACTTAGAGGGATTAGGATTGAAGAAATGGAAAGATCGGTTCAGAAGGTTGTGGTGAAGGAGACATCGAACAAAGGGGAAGAGGGATGGGCTGGGCGACTGTTCATATAGGCCAATCTGTCAGGTTATGGCGGGGTAGGACAGGACAGCCCCTCGTATGGGGATAATTGTGTCATGCTGTCTGATTATTCTGATACTGTTCAGTCTTAGCAGATGGAGTAAGCTTTCTAGGCGGGGCTTTCCACTACAAGTCGCCCAATATAATCATGGCGACTCATGGGAAATGGCGATAATTGGTCCCAGCATTGGGCTAAACAGATCGGCCTTAATTCTTAGCAGATCAAGAAGCTCAGTACCTCCTTTATGGACCCGGGGCTACAACCAATGGAGCGCTTCTGGCTATATCATAATCATGCGTGCTGCCAGGTACTGAGCTGTTCTCATCACTGTGTCTACCTGGTGGTTTAGTTGTCCATTCCCCACGCTCTATATTCAATGATCACTGCATGCACTTGCTACATAAATCCAACAAGAAGGATGTATATATCTATATAACTGTATTGATTTCTGGGGCTACTTCTATGAATCAGAGCAGATAGGCCGAACCACTCTAACCATCCAAACCCGGGCATTGCTCGCTGGTCTGTGCCGTGATCTCGGAGTAGGGATAGGGATCGGTCCAAATCAAGTCGAACCTAAGATTGTTCAGCCATTGAATTGTTAGTTTGTATTCAAGGAAAACTGACCGGTCATCAGGATACGATGGGGCATCATCATCGCCCAACTTGTCGACGATGTCCGTCAAGGCGTCGTGTTCCCAGCAAATCAGGATATTGCCCGACCCGGTGTAACCCTCAACCACATCTCTGACACACTTGGGATCATCACGATCACAGGATGTGTCCACAGTTAGACTCAGGTCTTCTGCGAGAGGCTCTACGGTCTCATAAGGACGAGCGCGTTTGCCATCTGGATTGATATTTAGCCGAAGGTCATTTCAGAGAAATGCAGCCATCATACCACTCTTGGGCGTTTGAGCCATGATATATCCAATGTTGTAGCTTGAAGCGCTGCCAAAAACATTGCGAAGGCATTGTGCGCGCTCCAGCCCCTGAGCGCTTAATCCATTACCTCCATCGCTGGGCTTCTCACCATGACGGATGAGGTAGACGGTAGGCTGGGCTGCTGAGACAGCGGCGATCAGGCCTAAGGCCAAAATGGATTTGGCATGCATGGTAATGAAGATGAATGAAGTTAAATGACAGGAGCGAGAGGAGTCGGATTGGTCCGCATTTATACCTGCTTGAGTCTCATTTTACAGATGCGATGTAACCTCGCTGCACTCATTCTAGTCCAAATCCGCGTTGACAGCCTAAGAATGGCTGGCCGCGGTGGATTGAGGATCGTGTCTACGAAGGAGGAATTGGGGGCCGTGATAATGTGATTGGTTCGTCATGCACACGTGCTGGAATGGCTTGATGATTGGCTTTTTCATGTCTCGGGTCTTATGCATCGTTCGCTCGCATTCCTCTCCCGCACGTCGATCTATCGCCAAGACGGTTAGAAGATGATGTGTGGCTACTAATGAATGCTTATGCATATTACTGTTCCGTGGTGACCATCCTACCAGTGGAGAGAGAACAGGATGTCGGACTAGTCCGTGTCCTATTTGGTTACATTCAAATTTCCGCTGGGTCAAATCGGTAATGAGAATCCAATCAAATGAAAAGAGGAGTTCCGTGCAATAACCACACAGGAAATCCCAAGGTGAATATCAGCAGGATACTCAAATCATTCTGCCTACGAGAGACACTGGGAGTAATAAGAATTCAACACCTTACACGTGGCGCCCGAAGCACAGGCAGTAGGACCAGTCCAACCACTGCCACCACACTGTCCGTACAGGGTCTGAGTTGCTCCACTAGTGGTGATCGTGGTGGTTGTCTCGGTGGTGGTTGTCGATGTCGGAGGAGAAGGGTTGCTGCCTCCTGGCGTCATGCCCACTGGAGTCTCATCGGTCGCTGTCTTGCCGTAACAGACACAGGTCTCCCAATCGGAGGTGGCCTGGCCAGGACAGGCAATTGGCTCAAAGTTGACTACCACATTGTCGCCAAAAACTTCACTCTGGGCCATGATATCAAAGTGGTAGCTGTAGCCATAGTTGTTTGTGGCACCCACCTGAGGACACCATTGCTGGTTGCCATTATAGGGGCAGAGATTTGTGACCATCACGATGATACTCTCCCCAGCGGCCCCTCCGGTGCCACAGCCGGTGCAAGGAGGATTGCCAGTTGATGTCAAGTTGTAGCACTTGCCGCATCCTGCACCGCACCATGAGGCGCCGGCCGTATCGAAGAGGGCCTGGGAGCCGGCAGCCGTGTAGACACCGTTACTGATGCCGAGCTATTATCAAACGTCAACCCAATTCTTCAAACAGCTGTGTGTTAGCCTTTACCTGCCAAGGGTAGGCACCAGATGATGTTCCACAGCCACAAGCTCCTTCCTGTCCGTCATAGTATCGCTGCCGCTCTAGTCAGTCATGCGGTGGAATAGGTGAAGTAAACCATACCGTAGTCGTGGCCAGATAAGCTGAAGCCGAGGCCACAAGCCCTAGGCACGCGAGTACTGCCTCTACCTTCATGGTTTAATCAAAGTAATGCGATTTTGTGTTGAGAGAGGCACACAGTTACTGGGTAGAGATTTAGTCGAGATTTATGTCTCCGAGTCAGCCCTCAGGGCCCAAACCCGGACAGCATCCTTAAAGTCCAGTGTTCGGCCCGCCGATCCGGTACTGCAGTTTGCAGAGGGCTAGTGCGCAAGCAACCAGGAGAGAGTACATCTTGCTCGCGAGTGTTTAGCCTTAATTAGAATTTATCCCTTTTCGGCAGGTACAAAACCGAATCGTATTTGCCTGTTTCCATTGATGCGAGTAAGAAGCTTTCGTGGCCATGTGCATGAATAACCGTCGCGGCGGGGGACAGCCATCAGGCGTCCAGAAGTTGTGGATTCTTGAAAGGAGTCTACATTACTAATGAGGCATTTTATTAGGCGGGTTATAAACAGTTCGGGGTCGTCAGCTGTTCTGCCACTTTCTGCAGAATCTTTTAGTAGCCGATAATAAGTAGCCGTGTTGGGCAGCAGACTCCTCAGAGCTCGGAATCCATCGAGAAAACGCGATACGACCGGTTTGAGCTACTTGCAGAAAGCAGCACAATCTGAAAGAGGTCAAGGTAGTTCTCTCTGTTAAAGACATAGTCTCCATTGTTTAGCGAGTTCCGAACAAGATAATAGCAGCTAGGTAACTAACTTAACAGAAATGCTTATGTCACAGTGATCATACTAACGTAATCCACGGGTAAGGCGCGGATACGGGTGAACCGCGGATTTCTGCGGATTTTCCCCTCTCCTAATATATTTTTGAAGCTTTTCAACCATCAACGCCATTAAAATTAGACTATCTAGTATATGAATGTATGACTATTTATTAGGACAACTCCTTCTATTATGTCCAATATTCCAGCACCCACTACAGCATGGTGGAGCTCGCTGCCAAAGTCCAGATGTAGTCTTATCAACCTGCCCTTCAATCTGCCCTTCAGCAAGTGTATCAAGCTGCTGAATGCAATCACAACCTTCCTGTACAGATATAAAGAGATCATTTCCTAGAACCACACGCCTCCTTACCTTCTTCTTCATTTTCCACTCATTCTGAGCCTATAGAACCTTGATTTCTCGCTGAAGAAGAAGGTTGGTATTCATTGCCATCTGCGCAGCCTTTTCAAGGTGTTGGATATGAGAAATTGGACTACTAGAAAGAGTCCTTTTCTTTTGAAGACTTTTCTGTAGGCTGCGGAACTTGTGGTCAAGTTGATGAGAATTCTGAGGTGTTTGAAAAGCAGAAGATATTGACCCTTCAACCTCAATAAGAGGTGGTGTTAGCGTACAAAGTTAAAAGGTAATTTTTGCAAGCACCTAGTCTTTATTAAGTGGTTTAAGACCAGATCCTGCAAAGCCATTTCATATATTCTTCTAAGTAAAGATTGCTTCACGTGCAGAAGGATATAGGTATAGAAAATCCTCTTTATCAATGTGGTTGTTTCCAGCCGCCATCATGTCTTCAACCAATTTTCCATATACGCGTTTAAGTGGCCCAAAAACACCAACATCCAGTGGTTGAAGAAGATGAGATGTATATGGAGGCATACAAAGAGAGATAATTACATTCTCCTTGCAGAAATGGTCAAATTCAGCATTTAGATGACTTGAATGACCATCAAGAATAAGTAACCATTTCGCGCTGGTTGAATGCAGTTTAGAAAAAGGGTCAAAAACTTGCTTCAGCCACTTAAGGCCTATTGCATCTGTTGTCCAGCCATTAGGACTATTTGTAAGCTTCCAATCTGGAGGAAGATTGGCCTCTTGATACCAAGGAGCCTGGTGTTCTTTTTCCTTTTAAGATAATGACTGGTGGTATATGAATCCCCTTAGAGCTCACATATTTGATAATTGTGACCCATTCCTGGTTCCCTTGGATAACTCTCTAAGGTCTTTCACTGTGTTCCACTACATTAATAACCTTTGATGCTGTACAGAGTCCCATTGCAAAGCCAGTTTCATTAAAGTTCTAAATATCATCTTAATATATACCATGTTCTTGAATTGCTGCATGTACAGTTTCAAACCATGGTTTTATAACCTTTAGATCTTCCTGCTTTGCCCTCACATATGTAATCTTCTGATTATATCTTGAATATAGTTCAGGACGGCGTTTGGTAAAGGAATAGGACCAGTTAATACCAAGAACTGCAGTAGGGTCCTGTGTACATTCCTGAAGTAAAATTTACACCATTTCACGCAGAAAGTCAGACTAAATTAAAAAGCCTCATTTATCTGCATCTAGCAGTTGCTTAACAAGAGTTTCTTCTTCAATTGAAGATAATCTAAGGTTATTTGCGCGTGTTTCTGACCATGGTTTGACGCCAGCAAGCCGCTTGTGAAGGGTGGATTCAGCTACATTATATAGCTTCGCAGCTTTCAATATTGATTTGACTTTCTTATCTTTCCATGCAGTAATAGCCATTTGAATATGAGCTTCCTTAGATAAAGGCATTTTGTATGGGAATAACAAGAAAACAACGCGTTGAAGAATACTGCTTGGGTAGCGGCGAAAATCCGCAGAAATCCGCGGTTCACCCGTATCCGCGCCTCACCCGTGGATTACGTTAGTTACTTTATCCACCCGAACCATTAAACAAGTTAAGTTTCAAGCCTATGGACGTTGTACCTTGCATGGAGTCAATCAAGACAGATCAACGTATCATATGCTAGGAAATATTTCTGTTCCTTACGAAAAGAGATAAGGTGGTTGCCAGTCACCATGACATACTCTCATCCATACGTCATGTACGGTCAATTGTATAGTTATTGTCGATCAGTGGCTTAGAAAATAAATACTGAGCATGCTTCCTTGATCGATAATGTTTTGCCGATTATACCTCTGCATAAAGAAGATTACTGCGTACATATTGCATGAGCATGTTTGAAAACGTCGTCACTCCTCGACTGCATGTCAAACAAAGCTGGGTCCAACCCATCACGAATTTGCCTGCTGCACATAACATCCTCAATATCCGGTCCGATAAGGAAGACGTCCAGCTCAAGGAAACCCTGGAACGAAGCATCCGTACTGCCCCCCATGAGGATGGAGAGGCTGCACTGCCCGATCTCCTGCTCTGGGACGAGAAGGGACTACGGTATTTTGAAGAGGTCACTTACACTCCATCATACTACTTGACCAACGAGGAAATTGGGCTACTGGAGAGACACAAGTATCAGATCGTAGAGCATATCCCGTCCGGGAGTATGTTGGTCGAACTAGGCAGTGGGTCAGCATGATACTGTTCGAATATCGTAGATCTAGATGCATGCTGACCCCATGTCCAGTAACCTCCGCAAGATCCGAATCTTACTCGAGGCCCTTGACGAACTGGGTCGCGAGGTGGATTACTTTACTTCGCCCTGGATCTCTCCTATCCCGAACTCCAACGGACACTTAGTTCGGTGCCACCGGGACGATTCCTGCATGTACGATGTTTCGGTCTCCTTGGAACCTACAATGATGGGCGTGAATGGCTGAATCGACCTGAAATCAAGTCCCGTCCCAAGTTTGTGCTGTCGCTTGGATCTACCCTCGGAAGCTTGCCGCGAGCGGAGACACCTACCTTCTTGTCCAGCTTTTGTTCGGGACACGCAGACAGCAAACCATCTTTCCTGATCGGATTAGACGGCTGTAAGCAGGAATAACGAGTCCTATCTGCATACAACGACCCCAATGGTATCAATCGCAGGTTTATCAAGAATGGGTTAGTGCGAGCCAATGAGATCATGGGCCATGAAGCCTTCGATCTCGACCTGTGGGACGTCCAGGGCGTCTGGGATGCAGAGAATGGCAGCCATAACCAATATTACTTCCCTCGCAGCAATGTCAATCTCGCAGGGAATATGATCTCCTCGGGGACGAAATTACTAGCGGTCAAGAGCCATAAGTACGATGCGGAGGATCGAGAGACGTTGTGTCGGACGGCGGGACTGCAGGAGGAGGATTGCTGGGCCTCAGACACGGATTACAGTAAGTGTTGCAATTGTCATAGATTCCTTGATTTTGGTAGCTGATTCCCTGATTTCCCCTGCAGATCTTCTGCTCCTGAAGCCGACTCGTTCTTCGCTCAGCGAAAACATGTTTCATGATGACGTCAGTTGAGCGAGGTATAATAAGAACCAAAGAACTCCTAGAATTAATGATAATAATGATTCAAGATATGTTTCTGCATAATTGCACAGCCTAACATATGTACACACTGTTCTGCTTTTGTGTAGATGCCGCCGCATACTACTGATCTCTTAATTATCGGCGCAGGCCCGGCAGGTCTGATGGCCGCCTGCTGGGCCTCGCATTACAACATGTCCACGCGCATCATCGATCAGAAGAGCGGCCGAACGACCACCGGTCATGCAGATGGAATCCATAGTCGTACATTAGAGATCTTTAATAGCTTCGGCCTGGTTGATCCCATCATCCGCCAGGGTGTGCCTGATGTGGAAATGTGCTATTGGGTATGGTGCGCTCGAGGAGAATCTTCGTGGACGAAAGTTGACGCTTTACAGGGCCCGAATAAAGACACCGGGAAAATTGAGCGGCGAAAACGGCTGCGCTCACAATCGGACAGTCTTTCCCAGTATGGCCAGATGCTGTTCAACCAGGGCGGAATCGAACAGATACTGCTTGATTATCTCTCAAAGACGGATCGTATAGCCGTGGAGTGGAACACTCGAGCAGAAACGTTGACTGTCAGTCCTGGAAATAGCGACGGCGATGACGACTTTCCGGTAGCAGTGGGAGTCTCAAAAACCACCAGCCAGAATGATAGAACCCAACAGACAGAGACAATTCACGCTCGTTATGTGATTGCGTGTGATGGCGCCCAAAGTTGTACTAGAACTCAGCTCGACGTCCCCATGGAAAGCCATCCGGAGCATTCTACCTGGGGAGTCATAGACATCGTTCCAATCACTGATTTCCGTAAGTGTCTCTCCCATCTACAAGAATGTTCGCCTATTGACAGCTGTAGCCGACATTCGCCAGTCCTGCGCAATCCAGTGTCCTGGTCATGGCAGCATCATGACAGCACCGCGGGAAAATCGCCTGGTCCGATTCTACATCCAGGTCAAGGGCGATGAGGAGCTCGAGAAAATGGCACAGAACCGCTCAGAGGATACGCCCAGAGCACTCATTAAGGCTGCAGAAAGGTGGATCAGTCCGTACAAACTATCATACAAGCATTGCGATTGGTGGTCGATATATCCGGTATGACCATGCGTTACCCATCACGACCATAAACACTGACGGTTGAAGATTGGCAATGAATATAGGATCAAGGACAGGTAAGGAATTCTGGAACACATCTCAGTCAGCTTGCTCACAAATGTAGAATCTTCCTTGCTGGTGATGCCGCTCACACCCACTCGCCCAAAGCGGGTCAAGGCATGAATGTGTCGATGCAAGATACCTACAATCTCGTCTGGAAGCTCGGATCAGTCATCACCGGAGTGGCGGACCCCATCATTCTAGACACATACAAGTCCGAACGACGACCGGTCGCCGAAGAACTCATGAAGATGGACTCCGTTCTCGTACATGCATATGAGCAGGAGGCCAAGGACGCGGAAGGAGTCGATCAGGTTCGAGATGAGTATTCTGGCTTCATGGCTGGTGTGAAAATCACATATGCTCCAAACATGCTCGTTGCCAGCAACGAGAAGAGCGGAGACAGAGCGTTGGCGAAGAATATCGCGGTTGGCATGCGTTTACCGTCGTTCCCGGTGGTCAACCAAGCCGACGGATCGACCGTCCCCCTGTTGAACGTCCTGCCGAGTAACGGCTGCTGGAGACTGATTGTTTTCTCTGGCGACTTGCGACGGCCGAGCGTGTGCGAACGACTCACTTCGTTTGCTGAGAGCTTCACTCTACACTCCCACTTGGCTCATCAGCACCAGACTGGGAACTCACGAAGGCGCGGTCCTCCACTTGAAACCCTCCTGGTTCATGCAAGTTCGAGGACGAGCATCAACCTCCTAGATCTCCCGGATCTCTTTCATCCATTTGATGACGAGTTGGGGTGGGACTACTGGAAGACATTTGCCGATGATGATGCATATGATCCAGAGTCGGGAAAAGCGTACGCGGGCTATGGCATCGATAGGGACCTAGGTTGTTTGGTTCTGTGTCGGCCAGATCAACATGTGGGGTGGATAGGAAGTCTAGACGAGATAGCAGGCTTAGACAACTACTTCTCGGAGTTCTCACGGCAGTAGACTATAGGACATGAATGTCAATTGATACCGTCCAAGCTACCGCTCGTACTCATATACACAGCTAGCGCCCTTGGGGAACGCTAATATACAGGCATAGGAACTGCATCCAAATCATAGTGCCAGCTGTCGATGGACGCCTGGTCATAGACACAGTCTAGGGTCTTTCCGTTGTTCTTCCAGAGAGGGCGCAATGGCCACGCGCAGAGCTGCTGGTTCTCGCCTTCATACTCCCCCTGGAGCACTGTTGCATTCAGGGTGACCGGTGTCACTCCCTTTTCGACCCATTCAATCATGGTAGCGAGGTTGGTCTGAGGCCACGGACCATTGGGCATGGCATCGTTGGTCGAGCAGTGGCCGGCACCTGGCACAGTGTACAAGCGGTACCATTCATTCAGAGCGTTAGCACCAGCTTTGTACGACAGGTTGCCGTACATGGTACTCCGGACCGACTCCCAGTAGCGGATCGACGAAGCAGTGGGAATGCTGAAGTCAGCGTCGCCATGGTAGTGTATCACTTTGCCGCCAGCGTGGTGGAATGGTGTTAGATCAGGCCAGGTAGTTTGCAGGGTGCTGTAGTACTCCTGCATGCCCGAAATCATCCAGTCTTTCAACGTGTCGTAGGTGATCCCGTCCAGACTGTCCAGAGTTGTGCCGTTCTTGTTCACCAGCAGTGCAATGTGTTCGCCCCCGAGTTGGTTGATAGACAGCTCCCACTTGCCAGTGGTGGTGTTGTACTGCGTCTGAGCATCGTCAAATGCGGCGCTGGGCTGGTAGGAGAAGTACACACGACGGCCCTGGGTATCATGCAGTCCGTTAATGATGGTTTTGGCGACCTCGACTGCCTTGGCTGAAACAGTGCCACTCTGGGCCGGCGCGGTGGCAGACGCGGTGCAGGAGTACTTCTTGCCCACGATAACTTTCGGATCAAAACGCAGCAAGCAAAGATCGGTTCTAGCCACTACACCGTCAGTCCTGCCATCCAGGGGATCACATGCGACGATAGTCTCATTCACAATCCTCTCCAGCTCGCAGGGCGGGGGATAGTAGTCGAGAGTCTTTTCAACAATATTCGAGAAGAGGTGCTGGGTCTGCTGGAACGACCAACGAAACGCTGGAGCCCCAATAATGGCCCCATCCCATTCATCTCCATAGCGCTGCACTTGGCTCCAGCCCTCACGGCCACCCTCGGAGCATCCATGGTAGTAGGCGTAGAGCTTCTCACTATCGGCCATGCCGTAGACATTCCGCGTGATGGCCTTGCCAATCAAGCTAAGTTCCCGGTGAGCCTTGTACCCGAACATGTACAGCGCCTCATAGTTCAGTGTGCCGTTGGCCAGCAACATAGCGCTGTCGGCATTGACCGAGAAGCCCCCAAACCCACCGTCCGTGAGTCCAGACGCCGCACCGTAGATGATACCCTCAGGGAGCATGCGCGCTCCGGAATTGATGGCATAACCACCCCCTCCGGTAGACAACCATCGGTTTTGGAAGTTGGTAGGAGCTGGTAGCCATATTTGGAGTAGGACTCGGTCGCCGTCGATGCCATCGTGCGAGTAGGCCAGGGTGACATTGCAATAGTCGATCATCGCCGTAGGGTAGTCAAAGCTGCTGACAGTGCTCTTGGTCACCACGCTGGTCGTGAGAGAGTCTGAGTCAATTGTGATGCCCTGGATGAACTTGGATGGAGGCAACACATTTTGAAGATAAGAAACAGTGCAGAGCTCCTCCAGTGTTGACGGAGTCGCTGCATGGGTCACAACGGCCAGGCCCACGGTGAAGGGAATCCAGGTAGAGGGACGCATTGATAGTTTTTAAACGTTTGTATAGCAGGAAAACGCTACGGGATGAGTACAGATAGAATGACAAGGAAATACTTCTCCTCTTTATAGCAACAATTTCCCTTGTCCTCTTGTCCCTTTCCCCCGCTTCCTCAAAGGCATCATACAACTGCTCTCCCAGAATCTTCATCGATATTGATTTGTGGGGTAGCTCAGTTAGCCAGCTATAGCAGGATGATCTTCACCTCGTCTGGACTAATAGCATTCCTTGCTCCAGAAAGAGCTTCGGAGAATTGCCATGTTCCGCACATGAAAGGACACCATCCCCACATTCCATCCCACAGTCCCACAGCCCGAGGCCAACCCGGAGATTATCACCATGTACAGGCTTAAGCGCCGAGGACTTATATTCTCTGGCTAAATCCTCTTCCTGAATGCGTGTCAGACGGCTGTATGAGTATTGCGGTCCAGAATGGATGGCTCGATGCTGCAGGGTGAAATCAAATGCGTAGTGGTCAAATATCTACATATCCGGATTCAGGAGCACTCTATACGCATTGAAGCTCTTCTACCAAGCGAAGAACTCGGCCATGAAATCTACAACATTCAAGTTTGGCTTCTTGTCTAGCGTTGTGGGGATTCATGGATGCAGAAAACCGGCCTTAGACCGCTCCTCAAAGAGTCAAGCTTGGACAGAGGGGGCAACCGAGAGATCTCGACAGGCAAGATCAATCAGTAAGAGGCTTACTGATCTGTGTGAAGTATCGGATCTACTGCCACCTGGGTAAGGAGGCAGTAGACAAGCTGATCAGATCATTGACTAGTCGTAGAGCTGTATATCTGATGGTATCGGGATGGTCCAATAATTATAGGCAACTGTCCCACGCAATAGACTAATCGTTCTGACTCCCACCATCTGTAGAAGATTGCAAACGTGAACCATGTCACCAGCTCCGCTCTGCACTGACTTGAACCTCTACATTTCCCGGACCTCGTCATGAACTGGCATCTTCTCATCAGCCAAATCTTCGACCCTTTCCACTCCTGCCAGTCCCAGCCGCTCATTGATACGCAGCATGCGAAGTCGATCCGACTCCGCAATGCTGTCCTCTGCACCTCCAAAGTAGACATCAAGCTCTTCCAGGGTCTTGTCCTTGGTCTCAGGAGCAAATCTCCAGATGAACAGACCACCAAGGGCGCTGAAGATAGCAAAGAAAATGTATGTGCCGTACTTCATCGATTTGAGCATGTCCTTGGTAGTCAGACCGATGATGAAGTTGAACATCCAGTTGGTCGAGGCCACGATGGACACGCCCCGAGAACGCATACTGTTTGGGAAGATTTCCTGCGCGAGAACCCACGCGACGGGGCCTAGTAGGGTCAGTGTTTGGCACGATCATTCCGGGGAAGAAGAAGACGCACCCCATGAGTACGCAAAGTTCACAGCGAACAGCCAGATAAAGGCGATAGCGACCCATCCCTGAGCCTTGTCCAGACCCATGTTCTTACTCCACTCATCCTGGTACAGTCCTTCGACAGTAGCGACCACCACGTGGCAGCAGAACATGCCGACTGCGCCGGCGATGAGGAAGGTCTTGCGACCGAACTTGTCTAGAAAGAGGACGGCCGGTAACGTAAAGGTGATTTGCAGAATACCGGTCACTCCAGTGGCTAGAAGAGTCGTCTTCGTCGAGGAGAAGCCGAACGAAGCGAAGATCTGAGGGGCATAGTATAGAACTGCATTGATACCTGTGAATTGCTGGCAGATCATTGTTCCTATAGACCAGAGTTATTGGGCAGAGCAACTACAAAGGCAAAAAACGGAAGCTTACCGCAGCCGAGGACCAGACGTTTGAACATGTTGGGAGCGAAAAGCGCCTTCCAAGGGGCCAGTCTCCCTCCCACGCGGATGGCCTCCTGGTCGGACTCCTCATCGAAGAGAACAGCCGCCTTGATTTCAAGAATCTCCGCCTTGAGCAAGGGATCTGCCGGACTCAGTCGTCGCAATTTGGATAGGGCAACGACAGCTTCCTCTTCGCGGTGCTTGGTCATCAGCCACCGAGGAGAGAAGGGGAAGAAGAACATTCCAAAGAAGAGAATCCATGCAAAGATAATCTGCAAGGCCAGCGGCAGCCGCCAAGAGATGGTCTTTTGGCCTAGACAGGTGTGTCCGTGATTCTGAGCGGCATTGTAGGAGCCATCGGGTAGGTAGGGGTTGTCAATGCCTTCAGGATTGCAGGTGGTGCCGCCGACGTATTGCATGCCTATTAGTAATTTGTCAGACAGGATAGCAAAGCGGCAACCAAAGGGTAGACGTACCATAGTCGAGCCAGAAAGCAATAGAGGTTCCAATAGTAATGGAGAGTTGCTGTAGCGATACGAGTGATCCTCTCAGTTCGGGAGGAGCAATCTCGGCTTGATAGAGAGGAATAACCTAAGGACGGCCACACAGTGAGCGAGTATAGGATGTTACCGAGCAGAAACAGACATACATGACTGAACATGCCAATTCCCACGCCACCGATGATACGACCCGCAAAGAAGTACGCGGGAGTCTGCGCACCAGCCTGCAATCCGGACCCCAGCGTGAAGATAACCACGGCGACCATCATCGAGTACTTGCGGGAGATCCGATCTGCCAGGTATCCGTTGAACAGAGCACCCGCCCAGGCGCCCAATTCCAGAGCAGAAACCAGCCAGCCCTGGATAGTTGAGCCCATCAGGTAGGGGAAATGATTCTCAAAGTTTTCCATCACCAGCACGGGACTCATGACTCCCTGATCGTACCCGTACATGATACAACCCAGCGAGGCAAAGGCACAGGTCATGAAGACGTACGGGTTCTTCAGCATACCCACTAGACCATGCGGCTTTTCCGCGTTGGCGCGGCCAACGACTGATTGACTGATAGCCATATTGATGCGAATCCCTATGCGGAGCGGATCAACGACGCAAAAGAAGGTCGACTTGGGGAGTGATGGTCGTGAGAGCGAGGGGAGTCCGGTATTAATAAGGCAGTTACTTCTCTCGACCCAGTCTGGGGTAATATCTCGGCATGCGGAGTTCCATCCGGAGTCGGGAGGCCTGGATATCGCAAGATAAAATGGCTAGTTCTCCATACTACCAGACGCTAGAGGGGTTGACAGTAGCATTCGCTTTGGGGTTGCATCATTATCCTGGGGTCGGAGTATCATCGGCTCTGGAAGTCCAGTAATGTCCATTGGAGATCGAGATGACGCGCCCGTTCGACGTCCATGACTCGTTCTATGATGAGCACGATCTATGGCGAGTCAGGCGAGCAGCGGATACCATGTGTCTTCTAAGTCCGAGTCAAGGCCTTACGCTGAATTCCTGGCAGCGGGGGTGGGCTAGTGAACTGGATCGGGAATGGCATCTATTGAAATATGATACCACTAGGCTAAAAAGTGTCCGGACATGATTCCTAACAGTCTAGGCTCTCATATCCATAATTATATTTTTCAACAGCATTCAGGGTCACAGTAATAACTTGTTAAGCCATCGAGCTGGTAGCTAGCTGACAAGGAGTATCAGTATCCACTATTATTTAGTTACTTCGACTCGCAGCTGGTCAGCACTACTACATTGGCTCGTCTGACTCCTCCGGAGCAGGCAATATTAGGCGTCCCGTCCTGGCTTGCGTGGCTTCAGACAGCGCTTGCTAGTCTCTCTCGATTGATGGGAGCTGCGGGGACCATGAATTATTCGGTTAGAGCATAGTAGGCCTTGTGTGAGATGCTCAAAATGAGGAGGTCGTTGCAGTCTTTTGCTGGACAGAGGCAGCACATAGAGCGTAACTCCAACAGAAATATTCAGTCGTAATACATAGACACTACGTACTATCTTGACCGTGGCCACAAGAACCAAGCGTTTTTAGTGGCGGTGGCTTGGAGCTTACGACTGTCTTGCCAACGGATGAATGTATTATCAATCGTCAGACGTGCGGGAAAAGATTTAATACGCTGAATCGGGAGCTGACTCGGCTAATACTAACGTGGTATGGGCAAGTGATAGTGATGACCCGAAGTTGGGGTCCCCAGAAAAGAAGATAATGTGGATATCAGTAACACTATAACGATCACTCGGAGAATATCCATCAGGGAACAACAAGATTGACATTCTATTCTCTATGGGGAAAAAAGATTCTGCCGATTCAGACCACTATCCAGAGCTACCCTTTGTTGCGGGTGACTACTCTTGCAGGCAATATGAATCAGTGAAAAACACCCTAATGATCCCGATGCATCCGAGGATAACTACTCTAGATAGACTAAGCTTCCTGCCCAGTGTCGTTCCACCTCTGGACCGGCTTGGCGATAGCAGACCCGACTCACGAATCGAAATCATCATAGGATGAGTCCCGGACGCAGGATCATTGAACGTTAGCGCTGACAACTCCGCACTGGTTCCTGGCCAGTTCGACGATTGGGTGTCCTCTCTTGACAGGCATCCACAGACCCCAGTTTCTCTCATGGAAGTAATAAAATAAACAAATAGGCCGAGTCACGGTTTCTCCGCAGCGCATTAATCTCACCGCCGGCATAATTTTGGTAATGTTCTGCATAACAGCCATGCGATGTGAGACACGTTGGTACCAGACCCGATCTTTGCGCCTGCATTCTATTCCAGGGTACCCCGATTTTGAGGGCAAGATTTTGAGAGCAATCTTGCGTGATATTAGACCGGTCCCAGTTGCATAGTAGGCCCCCAATCCTAAACAGCTTACTCCCTGTTCTTCCCGCACGGTTGTCCGCCCTATGTTCAAGGTGAGACACAATGGATCAATGCCTGCCAATCCTCATTCAACCCCGGAATGAGTGACGAAGCAAAAGATGTCCGGTAGGGCCCTATTATGCACAATGTGTGGGGGTGCTTGACTTTGAATGTCACCGTCAAAGGTCTGATGGCTAGAACCTAGGCCCTTCACGTTTGAGGAACAGTCGCTCATTGAGCAATCAGACTGTGGATGACACATTCAATATCCATACAACTCCTCGGCGTGGTGCAGCTCAGATAGACAAGAATGTGCGCAGCCAGGAAGTTAATGCATAGCACAACCTAAATGGAGATGTCGGCCTCTCAGTTGACAGCGATGTCACTTTGTCCCATCAAATTCTCATAGTATTGCCGATTTAGGCCGGCCTGCATCCTCGCCTCATGGTTGAACGGTTCCTTCAAGGCCCCTCGAAAATGCTTCTGTGCATTAGTGCGGAAGACCTGGACTGGGTCCGTGCCTTCTTGCTGACAAATCCACGTCAACCAGCGATGGCCCGTCGTTACATGGGTGATCTCGTCGTTGTGAATGATCTCCAGCGCATCAACACTTTCTGTGTCCCCCGCTCGACGAAACTTGTCGATCGTCATGGGATTGACATCGAGGCCGCGAGCCTCATGTACCAGTGCAATGACGGAAATTCGGGCTCGCAGATCATGGGCTGTGGCCATTGCGGAATCCCACAGACCGTGATGCACGGGCAATGCACCGAAGTAGGAACCCATCTCTTCCATGCGTGTGCGAAGGAGGGAGAAATGTTTGGCTTCGTCGTTGGCCACCTTCAGCCAATCGTGGAAATAGGTTCGAGGGAGCTCCCGGGGAGTGTCTCCCCCTTGCGGCTGCGTTTGGAAGGCTGCGAATCGGATACAGATGTCGATGGCGAGATCGATCGCCCAGAGTTCAATGTTGGCCAGAGCATGCAGCATGGCAATGCGGCTCTTCAGCGTTCCACCTTTTCCCGCGCGGGGCATCGATCGAGGTTCCACAGTCACCAGACCGTCGCGAGGTGGTTGATCAGGAGGCTTGACCGAGCCACTGCCGATAGGCATTGGCGAAGAAGTCTTCTCTCTTTCGGTGAATGTGGAGTACAAGTGAGCGGTCAATTCGATCTTGTGTTCGTGATTTGATGTATTCAGAATATGAGCCGCCCAGTCACATAATGTGGCATTCTCATCAAGGTACTTGGCGGGTGTCGTCTGTTGCGACACGGGCTGTACGGTTGTACGCTCCGAGGCAGAGCCTTTCTTCAGCTTGATTTTCTCGCTGACAGGGTCCAGTCGCACCAGAGAAGCATCGCCCGGATACTGTACAGTGAGCTCCCCATCACCAATCTTCACAGGAAACGTGCATGCTTTGATGCCCACGCTCGACTCCCCAGTCTCGACATTAAAGTCGTACGCGTGCCACGGACACGACGCAATGTAGACGGAATCCTCGATATCAACGTGAGAGTCTTCCATAGGCCCTCCAGCATGAGGACATTCAGCCTCCATGGCATAATAGCACCAGCCATCCTCGGTTTCATTTGCCGCGGGGCTGCTGCCTTTGGAAGATTCGATAGTGGGCAAGCGGAACAACACCAAACGCTTGCCATCGGAGAGATGAATCACGTAGCGCGATTGCTTGAAATCCGACAGCTGGCCGAGATAAATAGCCTTCATCTTTCTCGTCTTCTTTCCAGTTATCGCCAGACTGTAGATCGATTTCTCGAGATCAACTACCCGTGGGTACTCGTCGCAATTTGGCGACCGGGAAACAAGACAATCTCTGAAGTCACGTGGCTTACTAGACTCTGATTGGTGGACTGAACATTCGTCGGACACATCGCCCAAAACGGCTTAGCGTCACTGTCGCCTGTCGGTGCCTCAGGTTTCCATCATGTTCACTTCGAGGCATTCCCATCAATACGAGAGCTTAATTTCTCAAATATCACTGGATCTGGTAGAACTCCTTCGGCCAGCTATCTCCCGATATCTTTCAACCTATCTAAATTCAAGGTGCTAACAAAGAAGACAAAATGCGAAGGCCTGTACGGAGTACTTTTGTCATTCCGCCAATATATATCTTTCTCGACATCTAGTCTATTTCACCACCAAGAAAAACCTCGAGTGCCATTCCTCCTGCCCTCAAGTCAATCTCCCTCAACAACTGGTGTTTCAGAGTATACTGGCAATGGATTTCCAAGCAGATGCGCCAGAATTTGCAGCGCTACAAAGCGAGCATAAAACCGAGCTTGGCCCATTCCTCCACCCACATACCACAGGCCGGGATCTATAGTTCACAAAGTCAGTTCCAGTAACAGAACCCAGTGCAGGCACCTTTCGGGAAACATACGTCCGGTAGGTACATAAGCACCTTTGAGCTCGCCTTCCTGGTTAATGCCCCAGTAATCCTCCACCTGCGCATAGAGTTCTTCACCAAAGTATTCTCGCACCGAGTCGCGGAGGTTTCCTGTAAACCCGGTGGCGTAGATAACTACATCGGCTGGCAGGTGGGTTCCATCCTCGAATATGAGACCGTTTTCAGTGTACGACACGAGACGGTTGTCAGACTTGACCTTGATCTGGAGCCGATGAATACGCCGTCTGACATTTCTTAGAAATGCGACTCACCAAGCCCTGCGCTATCTTTGCAGAAGCGCCAGTATCCATGTAATGACCTCCGAAGCGCTCACTGAGAAGCGAAATGAGGTCTCCGTAGCGCTCCGTGTTGAAGCCAGCTCGCTCCAGTGCTGCGAACCGCTCAGGCTCAGCCTCTGCTTGGGTGTTCAAGGCAGCCATGGTGATAAGGCGGCTTACTGCTAATGGCCCCGCGAAGAGTGTGCGATCGGATGTCTCGAGTGGTGTATGGTCATTCAGAATTTCTAGCAAGGGTCAGTATGTCTCCGAAGCTTCCGAAGTGAGGCGTCAAGTACGTTTCCAGACTTTGGTCAAGTACTCCTGAGGAAGTACATCTGTATAAAGTCACTACAATGAACAGGGCAGAGGAAAGCTGCACTGACATGTCCGACTGCGTTGGATCATAGTCACGGATGCCACTCCAGCGTCAAGCATATCTTCAGCGATATCATGGGCTGTATTCAACGTGAGCATCAACATGCCATGATGGCTTTCTCGGTTGCTCACCAGTGTTGGCCGTTCCAACCACGACACCTCGCTGACCTTTCCAGTCCCATGCGTTATGATAACTCACCGAATGCTGGACAACTCCCTCGAATCTTTCTTCCCCAGGATAAAAAGGCTTGTGTGGCTTATTGCACGGTCCACCAGTGGCAAGCACCACATGGCGGCACGTAAGGATCTTGATGAGTTCGGAACCCGCTATGGTCTGTCTGACCTTCAAGGTCCATTGTGCGCGCGAGTCGTCCCACGTACCGGATTGTAGCTCACTGCGGGTCCATATATGCTTTGTCGATTAGCAAGAAGTCAGGGACGTTGCCTTCAATGAACATACTATCCTGTACTTCTCAGCCCATGTGGCGAACCCTTCCGCGAGATCATCTTTAGTCAACCACTCATGGTCGATATGGGCAAAGTTTCGTTCAAAAGGCAGATGGGAATAGTCGCGGATCGTGTGTACTGTCTTGGGTAAGCCACTTTCTCGTACAAGAACCTGAACAACACACATTTTGCGGAGTCGTATCGAAGACGCCAGTTGTCGCCCACACGTGGGTTCTTGTCTATTACGAGATAAGACACCCCTAGTGCTTTCAGTCGGCCGGCCACATTGAGGCCGGAATGACCAGCCCCTACGATGAGACAGTCAAAGTCAGTCGTGGAATCACCCACAGAGGGGCTTTGAGTCGTCGTATCAAGCGTGTCGACACTAGGATATTCCCTAAATCGATCCAGCAAAGTCTGCAACATCCAGATTGTGTAATCGCCATTTTCGCCCGATGGGATCAAGGAGAGCACACCAGAACAACATGCAGCAGGGCTAGCATTGGTTTCGAAGCGGAAAGGAACGTCGATCCAGCTACACGATGGACTAATACGCACAACATGTGCTTCGTCAGCTTGTAGGCAGAACGATTGGGCTCGTCGCGCCAAACACCGGTTGTGATAGATCTCCGAAACTGTCCGAGGAGAATAGAACGTTCTCAAAGTCCCAGTCAGTGCGAAACAATCTCGCCAGATAGCGACCTCGGCGAAATCGGATGCTGACAAGCGCGCAAGAGAGTTGGCAAAGGAACTGGCAATGGATGCAACGTCGACATCGTCAGGGAGTATTGCAGATGGAAGTGCGTCAAGTAAGCTAGGAAGGATGTCTTTGCTTCTCGTTTGCGTCATGGCTCGATATTACAGAAATGTGTTCGATGAATTGTGACAAGAAAGATCTTATCCTGGCCGGTGCAGCCTGCAAAATGTCCATGTAGCACGAAGGTGGGGTAGTCAGCCCTGCCTTAGGCAGCCTTGCACATACAGCAGCTTACGAGGAGTTGATCTACTGTTTTTGGAGAGTTCAAGATATTCAAATACGCTATGTCTGTCTTTGGACGATTTCCTCCTCAAACCCCATTCGCAGTGGGCAACGTAGCATCCCTGAGCTTGAGTACTGTTTGTAAATGCTCGTAAGCAAGCGGCTTCTCTTGCGACCATGCCAGCAAATGGGCTGTCTTGAGCACATTCTTGATCTGTCTGCCATTCAACGACACTCCGGCCAAGGTCTCCAGCTGTTCATCGGAGAATTGTTCAGTTCCTGCGGTGCGAGTCAGGAACTGCTGCCAGATATGGCGACGGGAAGTCATGTCCAAATCTGGGTAGACGATGGAGACGTGGATTCGAGATTCAAAAGCTGGATCAATGTTCCCAGCGCGGTTGGTTGTGAGGAAGAGGATGCCCTTGATGATACTTGTCAGCTTATTGGTATTGACAAACGGAATAGAAACTCACCTCGTAATACTCCAGCATGCGTAGAAAGATCGACACCAACTCATTCCTCCACAAGTCCGTTGAGTTGCGGGCTTCCATGAACACGTCCGCTTCATCGAGCAGAAGCACCGCTCCCCACTTGGGAACCATCCGCAGGATATCTTTCAACGCCTCCTCTACCCTCGAGGCCGACGTCCCCAGATCTCCCGCGCTCATCACATACAGCGGCACCTTCATCACTTCGGCAACGCTCTCCGCAGTGAGTGTCTTACCGACACCCGGGGGCCCGCTCAGTTGCATGATGATTCCTCGTCCTTTGCCCTGGACCACGTCGTCAAACGAGTCCACTTGTTTTGACTGCGCATTGGCAAAGGCCAGAATCAGTGTCTTGAGATCCTGTTGATCCTGCGGCAGTACCAGGGAATCGAAGGCCTGTGAATCCCACACGATCTCCTTGACACTGTCGAGATTGAACTCCAGCCACCGTTTCTCTTTGAGCGAATATCCACGCAAAGTGGGAGCGGCCAGCAGTCGCTCGTCATCTGTGAGTTCCTTTCCACAAGTAGGATACACTGAGACGGACTCGTCTGGGTTGAAGGTGTTGAACGCCTCCGCGTCGATGATGATGCGACTTTTGATGTTGAACTTGAATTCCCTTCTCATGTACCGACCCACAGCCAAGCCTTCATAATACTTGAAATGATACCCCTTGTAAGTCTCCCAGACCGCTCCACGAGCGACCAAGGCGTCACGAACGGATATCTGGTCACTGTGATGTCTTAGGGGAAACACCGGAAGAGCCGTGATGGGCATGGTGCCAGCAAACGGTGCCACTTCAAAGTCCTTGTCGCGGAATCCAAAGTCATCACCGTCGAAATCAATGTATTGGGCTTCAAGATCGAATGCGCCCGTCCGACAATTTGTCTCTCCTGACTTGAATCGAAAGGCTCGGGGGCGACCGCCAACCATACTGAAGATCTCATCCTCCGGCTCGAAGATGGTCCAGAGAAGATCATGGGTGACGACGCCGTTGAGCACAAGGTCATTTTTACGGGCAATCGTATCCCGTAGCTCCTCTTCGAGGATAGTGTAGAGAAGGTCCACGTGCGATTTGGTCACCGAGTCTAGCTCCTGGTCACGCGCACTAGCGAATCGCTCCCATCGATGAACGAAAGGCTTAAAAGGACTGCGGAATTCCACTCGCTCCAAGGTCATGGTCACGCCTGGATAGCCATCGAGTACTTCTCCGAGGACTTTCTTCAGCCGCTCGCTCTGCACGACAATGGAGTGGATTTGAAGAGGTTTGCGACCATCGTAGCACTTGACATGGCGGACAATGAGAGCATACTGAGCCGACTCCGGGTTCTCACCTGTGCTGGGGAGATCATCGGGCTTCTTCTTGGTCCACGAAGTGCGACCATTGTCATCGCGTTTGGACTGGTAGAGGTTGTGGACCTCGCAGATCGTCCCTGGGGGGGCATACTTGACAGTCTCGGCCGCGTCATCTGCATTGTCTTCCATATCTTTCTTGCTGGAGACAATGGTGTTGTCGTTGATGACCTCCATTATCTCCGACTCACTGTCTTCGGATTCGGAAGGAATGTGCCGAGAACGACGTCCGTAACGCATAGTGGAAGCCTAAGGTAGAGATAGATGATTCTGCAAGTCGGTTGAACCTGGAGGAGGAAAATGGCCACTCTTATGCGTAAGTGACGGCTACCAGGCAGCAGTCCCCTAGCCGTGCACCAGTGAATGTGTCTTGTCGGAAATCAGCCTTGTCGCTCTCATCATGACTCGGACTGGTGTATCCCTGTTGTTCACTGGTTGACGTGTTCGCTCGACAGCCTTGTGAGTCAACCCCTCTCTTCTGCCTGATCCCAACAACGGTTCTAGATCGACGCCTTCTAGCCTTGACCCCATCACCAGTCATTGAATGTACGGAGACCCAATTGAGCCTCATGATGAAGGTTATGATATCAGCTCATTAATTCAATTTGACAAATCATGTAGTGGGGATGGCTATATCTGTATTGTTGACTCTGCTGCCTTCATCATGTCCTGCAGCACCTGCAAAGCAGCATCCTCCTTTTCTAGAAGCACAAAGATGTGATCGTGGAAATACCCACTGACAACATTGGTACTAATTCCATGACTAGCGAGCTTCGACGAGATCGCAGCAATTAGTCCCACGGCCTCCAGGCTGGAATGCACCGCCAATGAGATCTTTTTGCAAGGAAAGGTATAGTCGTGCAATCCATTTGACTCGGCGAGATCTTTAGTGGTGATGATGCTCAATCCCTCGTCTTCTTGAAATAGCATCTCTGGTTTCAGGGATTGAAGGGGAAGATTTTCGATTGGCTGTGTTGTGGTGAGAAAGACAAACGTCTCCAGGTGTGCTGTAGGTCGCATCGACGCCAGGAGGGTGGAAGATTCTGTTCTCCTTTGGTTGGCGAAGACATGGTCAATTGGGATATTTCAATTGAGATGAATACAAAAGTTCGATCTAAGAATTAAATCTAGTATAAAAGGATGATCTTGATGAAATGCGACCGGTGGAAGTGATGGATGAGTGACACTGGATCAACCTGTCTGATGAGAAACTAAGACATGATGTGTGTGCCGAGGCTATTCTATTACTATGAGATTTTGAGTCTGGGGAATGTACAGGTAATAGCAGTTGGTGCCTGATAATCCGGGCAGGCCAGTAGACATGTTGCTCTCTTTTGGAGAAAGAATCTCTTGACAGTCTCTCCCTCTCTCTCCTCTCACCTTCCCCCTCAGGTTAGTTCATCATCCTCACCATCTCCTCCCTACTGATAGATTAATCAACTTGCGGCGATACTCTAACGGATTGGTGCTATTGAAACATGACAAAGCTGTTGCCTACACCTTCCATTCCTTCTTCAACTGAGCGAGCCATTCCTCATAGGTCAGAACTTGTCCCTCCACCAGAACTCGGTTGGCCTCTACCTTCTGTGGTCGAGGCGGAATATATACGAAGTCCTTTACATGGGTTGCCCTACATACCTGGAATGGCATGGCCCCAGTCCGCAGCAACTCCGAGCAATCCTCGCAGAAGCCCGTATCGAAGCAGATCGAGCACAACGAAATGCATTCCCTCGATTGAAGCTGCCTTCGACACGGTCCATCGCAAGTGTACCCATAGTCACTATAGTCGCCTTCCTCAATCTCCGCCTCGTCGCTATCCGCATATCGTCCGAGAGCATAGGCAATCGCAATGACATTTTTGACGTCACCAGCAGCGAGTAGAGCATTTTGCAAATCAGCCAAACCTGCGCTGTCGTTCTCTGGGTCATCGTCGGATAAAATCTGGATAGCCCGTTTGACGGAGGGAGCGAGTAGAGCCCGCGCCTCATCGTGTCGGCCTGTCAGGCGGTACCACAGTCCAAGAGAAATGGCCCGAGCCCGCGCGGCGATCCAGAAAGCAGACGTGTCCTCGGTCTTGTACCGTGCTACCAACTGCTCCAATCGTCTGACGTACTCCTCCGCCTCGGGGGAACCCACGCCAGCATCGACGGCATGACACAGCCAAAGTTGGGCCAGCTTGGAGGAGGCGATGACCTTGGCCGCTCCAATCTGGCCTTCTTCCTTGGCGGATCCATACGTGTTAAGGATTCTCTCCCACCGCTTCGTCGCCTTGTCTTGCTCTCGGGTGTATTCCGAGTACAGACGCGCAAGCGAAAGGTCCAAATCAGCCGCGACAACCGTCATGGACGACTTTCGGGCCGCTCGGGC